TATATATATATATATATACATATAAACTGAAAACAGGCGAGTTTCTGATGAATGGACTGAACATCTGTAGCTCTTTATCAAAGCCCATCAGACCCCAAAGAGTTTTACATAAAGTCATTTAACTGATTTTATTATACTTCTTCCTGTTTTTATCTTTATTTTCTCATCATTATTCTAACCTTTCCTGTGTATTTCTTCTTCCTGTTTTTATTCATTCGACTTGTCTTGTTTGTCTTCTTTCACCTCCTGTCTTCCTTCTTCCTGTATTTTAGTTATTAAAGCAGATTTTAAGTCATGTAACAAACCTTTTTTCTCACTAAATGAGGTGTGAAACCAGAAACAACACGATCAAAAGAAACAAATACATTTCAGTATTTTTATGATGTTTGAAAACACATCAGATRAAGCCTTGAGAAGGGAACTGTGACAGATTTATGGGTCAGGGAGCTCCAGAGCTGGAGTACAAGTCGTGATGTTCCTGAGCTGATGTTCTGTGAATCCACACATTTAACTCAGTGATTTTAGCTCAGCTCCAGTGGATAAAATGATCCCCCTCCTCTGCTGCAGACCCTTCCAGCTCCAACATATTTCATCAGGAACTGGATGAGGTACTTAATATTGTAGTACAATAAAATAAAAGTAGATCACAGCCTCTGAGAAACCCTTTCAGCATCCAACATTTCAACATTTTTCAAACACTTTGAAGTTGAACCTGCAGGATGACTGTGTTTTGTTAAATGTTACCTAGTTAATGACGACCCACATACCTTCACATGCAAATCAGCTGAAGGTATGCTGGTATGTTTCCTTCTTTTGTTCACATGTACAATTGTGTCTCGAGGCACTTTCCTCAGCAGGAGCTGTTTGAAATGAAACAGCTCATAAAACTAATCTGGTCACAAACAAACAAACAAACAGAACACTGTCCTGGCTGGTTTTAATCATCTGTGTTCACCACGTGAACACTAGTGACACAAAGAACTGCAGCCAGAGACCAAGTTTATTTTTAATTAGGAGTTCAGAGAATGAGCTGAAGGTGTTTAAATCAAATATCAAACTTCTGAGGAAAATTTACATCATCTTTGTAAATAAGGAAGTAAACTTTATTTATTTAGCACTTTTCACAGACACAAACCTCACAAAGTGCTTAACAGAGAGCCTAATAAGTAAAAACAATAAAAACAATGGATAAAAATGACGAGGAATAAATTTAAATTAAAAACAGAAACAAAGCTTAACTTAAAGCATGTCTGAATAAAAATGTCTGAAGATGTTTTTTAAAAGGGTCAGTGGAACCTGAGCAGTGAAGAGGGAGAACATTCCAGAACATAGGACGCATCACTGTAACATTTAAAATGTTTCAGTTATAAAAAGAGGACTGGGCCTAAAACGGAACCCTGTGGTACCCCACAAGGCAGTGGTGCAGCATCAGAGCATCATTCGTCTTTAGGTTTGTCTTTTCCCTGAGAACAGGTTCTGATTTAAAACATTTTGATTAAAGCAGAGTTCTGTTAGAACGTCTTTGGT